TACACCTCTTGACCTTTGACCTTTGACCCTTGGCCACCAAATTTGTCATCCCGAGTCCTTTACACGATCCCCCCCCCACGTCCCGAATATCGTGACCGTACGTCGAGCGGTTAAGATTTGTGCCCAACTGTTGACGGACGGACGGACGGACGGACGGACGCACGGACGGACGCACGGACGATCATGCGATTCTACAAGCTGCATCTGACTATGTCAGATGAGCTAAAAATAATGGATAATGATAAATTTCATGAAATAAACCACATTATGAGAGGTCTTTGTATGGGTGGTTACAGTCCTATAGACCGAAGGTCCGATAGATTGAAGGCCTGATAGACCGAAGGTTTATTCGAATACGCAGTGGCTACACGTCCGGAATCGGTCGCCTAGCCTCCAGGCTACGCATCCGGACATCCACTGATGCCGTATTCGAACGTGAATATGCTGCACATCCACCGATGCCACTATAAATCATATGATGCCACTATAAACCATACATATGCCCTAACCCTAACCCTAACTCTAACCATAACCCTTTGCAACATTCGGTCTATCGGACTTTCGGTCTATAGGGCTGCCCCCATATGGGTAGAGTATATTGAGAAGAACAAGTCTTCATTCACCCCGAAGAAGATATAATTGCTAAATTGGATTCACCCAAAATTGTGATGATGGGGAGCAGGCTATTGTTTGATATAGATATGAAGAAGCTAAGCTGAAGTGGCTTTCCATAAAGCTTCAGTCTAATGTATACAGTAGTTGCTATGGGGCAGAATTGAACATGACCAGCTATCTAGAACTGTTTTTCATTTCATCTACTACACATTGTTTTGTATAGATCTGTACTTAGAATAGACTACTTTACTAATGTACCGGTATTAAATTTTTATCACTTTCTTCACAAACGTTACCCATGACAACCCCAATGCTTGCCTGAGGTTTGCCTGAAGCTTGCCTGACGTAGGAACAACCAATGTATGCAAAACAAATTAAACAAATTCAATAGAAATAGACTTGAAACAAGTAGTTTAACGAAATCATCATAGGCGTTTGGGCCAGAAACATCCATGAATATCAATACATTTTAATTAGTAAACTGGTCTGTTAGCTATTGGCCTAACCATGCAAGATAAACCTATGATTTAGGAATGTGGGCATGAGAAGATAGCACTATAGATACACTTCTTATAATTATATTGTTGTTTGAGCTTATGCGTACATAAACAGCATAGATGTAGCTCTTTGCAGTTGTTTTTCATTATATTTTCATACATGTAACGTCCGTAACACTAAAATGTAACGTCCGTAACAACTTTAATTAAGGTAATCAGACAGGAGTGTTAATTTCAAACTTGCTATTCATGTCTGTATATAATGGGGGCAGACCTACATCAATATTATAGTTAGTAAAAAAAACTAAAGGAAGTAACTTCACAGAGTTTTACTAATATGTACCAAATGTAAAAAAGTAATGTCACAATGCGTAACATCTGTAACGCTCGTTTCTTATGATTGTGGCTAATTAATCAATTAAGCTAAAACAAAGTTGTTTTACTATTTCTAATACTAGAGTGTATACTACAAGTTTAAGAGAAAATAAACTGTTCTTTCAACTGCAAGTAAGTTTGTTTATCAATTGAAAGTTGCAATTTGCATGTAAACGTAACGTCCGTAACGGTGAAATTGGCCATATACTTAAAGATTCTAGGCACTTGTAACTTTGCGGATGTGCGGCAGCATTGACCTATGCATGGGGGTACCGTCAACTGGGGAGGAGAAAAACGAAAGTAAAACTTTGCCCAGAAGTTCCGGGCATTCCTAGATATTCCAGTACAAGTTTTTTTAACATACTCAAAGTAACTAAAAACTATGTGTACTGTGTAGTGCATGTCTGTCTGTGTGAATTAAATTGAATAAGAATGTGATTGGTTTCTTAGTAGAGTGAAATGAGATAAAAAAAANTTGAGGTTGAAGGGAATGCGGTAACGCAGGGATGCAGGAATGAGGATGCTGCTGCTGCTGCTGCTGACCTGGCTTCTCAGCTGCTCGACCTCCTGCTGCAGCTTCTTCTCGCTCGCTCTGTGCTTCTTCAGCAGCTTCGTCTTCTGCTCGAGGTCTCGCTGGATGTCCTGCTTCTCCAGCGTCCACGCCTCCGTGCTCACATCCATCTGCATCTCCAGCCGCCTAGAATAGATGCTGATGCTGATATTGAGACGTGAAGGCATGCTACAGACGCAAGATCGCGCGTGTGCGTGTGTGTGTGTGTGTGCGTGCGTGCGTGCGTGCGTGTGTGTGTGTGTGCGTGTCGTGTCGTGTCGGTTGGT